AAAATTTTATTTTGTATGTAAACATTTTAAAAAAACTATTTTTACACAATTACATTCACAATTTTCCATCCTGGTGTTAACACTGCCACATATGGCATTCACGTCGCCTTGGCGTTGGGTTTCTTTGACAACAAAGCAAGTGTAGTAAGTGTTTGCTACATTGAATACATTAACAGCGAACACTTTTTAATTTTTGTGAAATGTGAAATAAAGCAGTAATTTTTAAGCAAAAAAACTCAAATGACTTTAATTCTCATACAAAAATGTAGGTGTACTGTTAGTTTCTTCATGATCTAATTATCGGATCCAAACAAAATTAGTGTGGGACCACCCTTGAGGTAGCACATTTCTGAAAAAAGAATTATCAAAATCTGTTAACGTGGTCCAGAGTTATGCGGTAACATACATAAAAAAAAATCAGACGTATTGATAACCTTCTCCTTTTTTTAAGTCGGTTAAAAATAAAACATTAATTTTAAGTAAAGTATAGAAATTAAGCAACTAATTGAAAATGCGTAATTTGCAGCACTCTATCCCTGGCGTGTAAGAAATGTTGTTGGACAATTTTATTTATTAGAAAATCTGTCGAATTTTGGAACTTGAATTATAAAAAAATTTATCTTAGCAAAATATAAGCATTGCTTATTACATACATATATTATCTTAAACCTTTTATGATGGAAAACATTTCGAAGTTTTGTATGCTCGGCTTCTCCGATGTCCCACGCCAAGTTAAATTTATCACCAACTAATCAAACACAATGTGCTTTAACGCTAAACAGACGAGTACAGGAGCTTGTTCCCCTCTAATCTTTTGTACCACGTAGTATTTCTGCTATCAATAAAGCTAATATATTATTAAAATCGAAAACATAGAAGCTAAAATAAGACTCACCTTCCAACTGAGCTCTCTTCTTTATGTCCAATAATTGTTGTTCGTCCTTTAAAGCAATTTTAATATTGGAATATTCTATAAAACAGTCAATTTTTTGTTTGCATCGATATTTTGTTTGCTCTTATCTAGGCAAACCATAAATTGTCTACTTTAATATATGTTAAGAAGTTAAGTACGCGATGGTAGTGTATTTTATTTTTGTAAAATATAGACCATCTTTCAACTAACGTTTAGAAGTGCCTAAGACGTTACTTCTTTGAGATAGATCCGCTCTTATAAATGCTGACAGAGAGTACACGTCAACATTTTTGTATACAAATACAAATTCGAAAACAACGATTGAGTAATAGCCCTGTAGGGAACTCAACTAATTATAAATGTACTACAAGTTAACTTTTTTTCAACTAGGGGTGACTACGCCTCGACTACTTTTCGTAGTTTTCAACTGACTACTTTTACATGATGATGTCGCAAAAAAATCAGTTTTCAGCTAACCACAAATCGGTTATTAATAAGTTCACTTGTAGTGTGCCAATTATAGAATGTTTTTGGTACTCTCGGCTTTTATTCTCCTTTTAGGTTAACTATTACCTACATGATAACTATTTAGTTAGCATGTATTAAGACCCCTAAATATGTGCCATTAACATACATACATACATCAGAAACATATATACATGAATACATACTTATGTATGTATATTTTCGGCTATATTATTGTAAATAAAATAAACTAAATCCATGTTTTCTCGCTTTCAGTAAAAACAGAATGACAACAAATGTACAAAATTGGTTTAACATATTTTTTTTTTTGAACACAAGTTTCTTTTTCGAAAGTGAAAATTGTGAAACAATTTTACGTACATATTCCCTCGACTGAGTCCTGTATGACTTTGCAACCAATTAAAAGTTAGCCGTAATAAGTTCGCCAAAAGTTGGCTATTTCAATAGTCGACTACGAAATTCCCGACAGGGAAGTGTATATTAAAGATTTGTGATAACGACATATTACAATAATAAAAGGTTTGCTCAGTGAAGTGTTTTCTCACTCTCTCTTAACAAATCGGCTCTCTTAGCAAGGCATTGTCTTGCTAATTCTGCAAATTACGGCAAAAGTGGAGTAAAAGTAAAATTTGTAGAAAAAAAGCATCACTGCTGCCATTATTGGTTTTTCTTTTCTTGATATTCGCCAATATTTCATTTTCTGGCTGCGTGAATTTTGGTAAGTTTTGTAATAAATTGATGTTAATTAATCTCAGCGCATACAAATCGAACCCTTCTGTGGGATAGTATTTTATCGTTGTTATTTTCTGACCGAGCAGCTTGTGGGTATGTAACCATTTTGTTTGTATTTAATTAAATCACTGATGAATATGTATATTTGTTCGGAGACCCAGCCAACGCGTTATTATATATTTGCATACAGTGGCGGTCAAAAGTGCATGAATGGTGTTTCGTTTTTAATATCTACAATGATTTTCAAAATTTTGTTGATAATTTTTTATAAAAATATGGTTCATGCCTTAAGACAAGCCTTATAAATCACACTTGCAAGTCTTATAAAGAATTTAGAAAAAGTCTACCAATTCTTATTACAATTTCCAGCCTTTTAACCAGAACTTTCATAATTTTTTGGGGTATGCAGTTAATAGGCTTATAAAATTTTAATAAAAAAAGTGAAAGTTTTGAGCTGCTAAATTGATTTTTTAATAATTTTTCTTTGCTGGCGGCTTTTGCGGGTTTTTATTTTCATATAAAGAGCGAAATTTAGGAAAACTGGCGTTGACTTTTTTTAATTTTTTCGTAATCGATGGAGTTTACTTGGTAGCTACCGATCCATGGGGTATGCACTTACATATAAATACTGAAATATGGACATTCAGATACGTGCGTGCTAAATTTTAGTTTGAAAATATTATTTTTAAATACGAACACTTTTAAGCGATAAAAAAATTTAAAGTATTCATTTTTACTATGCATTATTTCCATGAATCTTCTTCTTCTTCTTATTTGGCGCTGTAACCGCCTAAGCGATTTTGTCCGAGTTCAGCGACTGGCGTGCTTTATTTCTCTTCTGTGCCAATTGGAAAAGCCAAACGAAGCCAAGTCCTTCTCCACCTGATCTTTCCATCGCAGTGGGGGCCTCCCTCTTCCTCTGCTACCACCAGCGGGTTCCGAGTTGAATACTTTCAGAGCTGGAGCGTCGGTGTACATTCGAACGACATGGCCAAGCCAGCGGAGCAGCTGGATTTTAATTCGCTGCATTATGTCCATGTCGTTGTAAAGCTCATACAGCTCATCGTTCCATCGTCTGCGGTCGCCATCGCGTAAAGGCCCGTAAATCTTCCGCAAAATCTTTCTCTCGAACACTCCAAGAGCCGCCTCATCGGATGTTGTCATTGTCCATGCTTCGGCGCCATATACCAACACGCGCCTGATGAGTGGCTTATAGAGTGTGGTTTTTGTACGCCGAGAGAGGACTTTACTCCTGAATTGCCTACTCAGTCCAAAGTAGCACTTGTAGGCAAGAGTTATTCTGCGTTGGATATCCATGCTGACATTATTATCGGTGTTAATGCTGGTCCCAAGTAAACGAAATTCTCTGCTTTCTCGAAATTGTAACTTTCAACAGTGAATTGGGTGCCAAGGCGCGAATATGCTGAATGTTTGTTTGATAGCAGGGGATACTTCGTCTTGTCCTCGTTTACCACCAGACCCATTCCCTTTCCCTTATCCAACTTGGAAAAGGCAGAACAGACTTCGCGGTTTTTGATACCATGGACTGAATGATAAAAGCTGCTATCATTGGATGGTTGTTACGCACGATTATTTCCTGTTCTACATATTTTCCAATATTTTAAAGAAAAAAATTATAGATACTAATTGTCTTGGAACATTTTTCACTCAGTTTTTAAACAACCAATACTATAAATTTTGTACAATATGTTCATGTGAATCAAGCTGCGTTCCATGCGCGAAGGAGTCCAAGCATAAGCATCCATCCATCTGGAAGCTAATTCAGTATTGAATTCAGTTTACTTCAGCGTTCTCAGTTTTTCATTCAGGTATTTACCACCTTGCTGTGTGAAATCAATTTTTTTAATGATTGTTGATTGAAAAAAATATAAGCCACACTACCAGACAAAAGTAAAAGGAATGAAATCCTACTTGTAAATATTTCATATTAAAATTTTAAATGATTTCACAGTTTCACAGCTCTGTTCTGTGGCGGGATTTTATCTTATTTTTATGTAAAACAAGTACCTTGTGTAACTCTGTTTATATCCTCTAACCGGGAACGCTTGAATTGTTTTGCTGCATGTATGCATAATTCAGGAGGTTGACTTTGGTATAATGGACCTTGAAAGGCTATTGGCAAACAAAAGTGAAGGAGATAACGGAATTAAATAATAAAGGGAATGAACCAAACCAAAATTCCGACTTAAGCTGTTATGCCTTACAGACTATGTACTTCGATGAATATATGACCTGAGTTTCAATATCTTTGCGAGGTCATGGCAAAAACAAAGGCCTTTAATCGCTTCCTACATTAAATTGAGCCGCTTTGTATGAAGTAAGAACAAAAGGAGTCACATCGAGGTTAAAAAAACATCTTATCCGATTATATCAGTAGACAAATGTATCTGACACACAAGTCACCAATACATTAGAACAAAAAATAACGGTTATTTTAGTGTTGTCAATTTGTCTCACAAAAGAAATTAAGCTATAAATAAAGTTATTTATGCACACATATCTATATATATGTAGTATATACTTGTATGTGCATGAAAGCTGGCTAACTCAGCACATGCCAACAATGACCTCAGTATTTAACCGATAAAATGTGACGCCATTTCAGCGTGGCGGCGATTATTATTTCCATCACATTTTCACGCCATTGATAGCTTCATTTATAGGTAAAGACATATCGTGTGCCACCGATAAAAGTACATATGTATGTGTAAGTATGTAAGTTTGTACATACTTAATCCCTCCCCTGTGATGTGGTCTAAGCTCTTCGTAAATATGTAGAAATGTCCACAAAATATACAAACACAAACAACAAATTTATTGGCATATATATATATATATGTATACTCACCCTGAGAGAATTGTATTAGCTTGCAAAAAAATTCACCGAAAATAAAATGCCGCAATAGCGTGCCAACCAGCGTAACGGGCATGCAGAGTACCCCGAGTAAGATATCGGAAATTGCCAAGTTCAGCAAGAAGAGATTTGTTATTGTGCGCATACGTCGGTTCTGTGCTAATGTCGATATAACCAGCAAATTACCGATTATTGCGAAGAAGAGTATAATGCTGTAGCAGGGTATAAGCCAGATTGGCATTTCTGTGGAAAGTCGTGGCTTTCCCGCCACCACCAATGCAGTGCGATTAGACGCCTTTGCGTTGCCATCAATAAGGTTGGTTGCATTTGCAGACGTAGCCGTTGCGATGGTTGCCACCGCGGACTGAGGAATAAAGACCATATTTTCTGTATCGTTTGTTGTGGCGTACACATTGAAATCAGTAGCAGTGGCTGAGATATTACTTGTCGATATGTACGTGTCATTAAATTGTGTTAAAGCCAGTGAAATAATATGACTAGCTGCCGAATCATTGCTGAAGAATGCAATCAACTCGTGATACTGATCTGGTGGAATTGACATGATGAATGGACGGTTTGCGAGCGAGTGTTCTGCTGATAAGTAATGTCGGGCTTTGTAGCTGGTAGAAAGCTTAGCTTTAGTTGAGTTAATGTCTGTTGCTTTGTTTGGGGATGGAGTTTGATCGAACTGTGCTTTTTATTTTGTGCCACATTTATTTATGTATGTATTTAGCTCACATGCGCAATTTTTTTTATTTACAAGCGTCCGTTATTGCATATGTGTACTTTTTATTATTTAAATTTTTTTGGGTTTTCTCGTACGTACATATGTACTTTCTTATCACTTGAATCATTGTTGGGTATTAATATATTTTTGTTTTCAGACATTATTTACACTTCTTGTAAACTTTATTTGTTTTTATGTGTGAATTGATAAACCCTTGATTTAATCGCATATTTTCTTTACACTCCATTTATTTATCTAAATAACATCTTTCCTCGCACTTCTCTCAATATTTTATGTTTTTGAATTACACGAACTTTGTTTAGGCTTAGCTATATACTAAATTTTACTTTTGTGGACTGCGATAACTGCAAATAAAAACAATATTGTGTTTACTTTTCTTTGCACATAAATATCCGCTTCTCATATACATATATGAGACATTCTTTTTCATATCGGACACTAAATTTGGTGTCACACTTTCGATTGGCTTCAAATTTTTTTATGGGTTCTATACATGAAATAAGCTAACACGTGTTCGAGGATTCTTTTTTCGCTTTTTTCTTTGGAGATATGATCTGTCAAAGTTTGTATTTTTTCGTGATTCTGACTAATCATGTACTATTTCAAATCGTTTTATCTCGGGTTCTGCCCATCGTAGAGACTTCATTTTAACGTCGTTTAAAAGCTAAAGAGACGGGCTCAATATTTCTATATATAAGATGGTCAAGATTATTCAGATTAGTCAGAATCACGAAAAAATACAAACTTTGACAGATCATATCTCCGAAGAAGAAAAAGAAGAAAAAATTCCTCGAACGCGTGTTAGCTTATTTCATGTATAGAAAAAAAAATGTAAGCGAATTTTTTTACGAAATCCGTCCGCCTTAAAAAAGAATGGCTCATATACATACACACATATGGGTGTGTTTATCACAGATGCAAAACTATGCACAATTGGTTTTTTTTCGTCCATTTTATTGTACCCGGCTCTTCAACTCCAATCAGCTCAGTTTTGGCCTTATTTGAAGATATTCCATAGAAACACTTACCAGAAAATTGTCAAAGCCTATTAATCAAAAAACCTTGTTTGCAAAATAGTAAGAAATTATATTTTCAAAGAGTATTTTTGTATTGTTTTGTTTTACGGCAAAGCGCAGAACCTTTATTTGTTTTTGATTCGTAAAATGTATAAAATAACTTCCTTTGTTTCTTTAAAAACATTCAGTCACAATTATTTTACTTTTGCGCACTTCCTAAAGCTTGCTTGCCCAATGGGCCGTATGAATAAAAAATAAGCAATTGTTTTTTTTTTCTTAAATATGAGGCGTTTTCCTCGATTTATTCAAACAAAATTTAACCAAAAGGTTCGAAATCTTAAGAAAAAGCAATTGCTTAGTTTTTATTCATACCATTCAATATTTCGCTTGAATTCTGCTAAATTAAAAATTTCCAAATTTTGTTTCTGATACATACAATAAGTATGTTTATATTTTCGTCGGTTCAGATGAACGGTGTACACGGCGAATGATAAACATTGAATTGGCGTCCACACAGCAAAGTATGCGGAAATGTATGCGAAAATGGGGGCAATTTCTTAAAAAGACCTAAAATTTCATATATATTCCGATTCCATTTTCAGTCATTTTTTTATATGTTCTATCACTAAAGTGTGCATCCGAAACGTATGTATAGAAAAGTACAGAAAATGGTTGTGACACAGATGTTGGTTTTCGGCTGATTTAGTGAAATTTGTCTACTTAAATTTTTTGTTGAAAACGCTTTTATTCTAAACTTCACAGATACTTTTTCAACACAACTGAAAACCAAGCGAAATATAAATATAAGACTCAGCAATTATTTTCACTTTAATATATACTTTTTACAACATACTAGAGCTGCAAAACTATCGATGGCACTATCGATAGTATCGATAGTTTCAATTTAACACCACTATCGATGAGTGCTAGCCACTATCGTGATACTATCGGAAACAAACAATTTGCTAAAAATCCACAGTAAGCCCTAGCTACTTCAAACTTGCAATTTTTACTAAAACTTAATGGACTACAAAAGCGCACACTTAAAATTTTTCTAAGAAATCTAATTAAAAAACTCAAAATTTTGATGACTCGAAAAATTCGAATTTTCCTCGTTTTTGTAAATTGTCTAAAATTTACACTTGCAACGCTTTTTTTGTTGCTTAAAATAACTAATTTTGTTAGTTGATTAAAACTAACATTTATGTTTTTTTTACTAATATGTATTACCATATTCAATATAGTGCCGTAGTAAGGATCTCATATTTTTTCTCTCACCGATTGTATTGATACTTTCGAATGGTGAGACCCAAAACTATCGAAAATATCGAATGCTCCAACCATCGATAGTTTTGCAGCTCTAGGCTATACCACTGTGCGACGATGAACACTTGAACAATGACAATAAAAAAATTATTAGACATAGCATTAACATACTTATGGTTGACTGATGGCGAACCTACAGTTGCGTGTGAACTCCAAAAAAATGGACTTGATCAGAATATTTTAACACATACCCCCGATGCAAGCTTAACCTAAAAATGCCTTAAAAATACCATAAATACCATCGTTAGATGAGGTTACGTTAAAATTCGCAAATATGAGCCAAGTACACTGCACAACAGGCAAAAAATCCCCCGGGGTTTCTCAACGGTTTCTAAAGCTTTTGGGTCGGCTGAATCCGAATCTGAAGTCAAAATTTTCGGGTCATCCTTGGTTTTCTGTAGTTTACGTGGTTTATCCAGAAACCGGCATTTGTTGAAAGAAAAAATTTTATTCTTTTTAAAATCATTGAACAAGTGTAACTAAAGTTTTTTGGAGTCGAGGAATCGGAGGAGAAGCTCGGCCAAGCACTAAAATATTGTGTAAGCGCCGATCTACTTATTATAATCATTATCATATCCAGACACAAAGGCTCTTAAAACCGAACATTAACAAGAAAATATATTAAAACTGACGTACAACACGAACAATACGAACTATTCAGAGCAAAAAATTATCCCGAAGATGGTTAAATGCCGAACCTAATTTGTCTTCAAACCAAGTAATGACGAAAATTTGTTCCAAAAAAACATCATAAAGTAATGGGTTTGAAGCTCTACAATGTTCGCTTTTCACACCCTTATCTACAACAATAAGGAATAAGCTAATCAAGGTTTAGAGTACGGCATGCATCATAATCATAGTGGCTCTAAACTCAACGCCGTTGTATATCCCAGATGGCTTACTTTGCTTTTACTTGTGGACTTGTATGGGACAGTACAGACAAGTTGTAATGTAGTGAGATTAAACGCACTGATAATGTGAATGCGAGGTACGAACCACTTTAGATGCTACGAGGAATGTTCTCCTCTAGTAGCGATTACGCCCAGAACCTAGACTTGAAATCTCTATCATTAATTCCCAGATTCTATAAGGACAAATCCACATCCAGGATAGTCACGAAGTGTAATATACTTAGGTGAAAAAAAAACAAGTTATACCAAGTAACTTTTTGTCTCGATGCAGGTAATTTGCTTACATTTTTAAAACTCTGGTTCATACGGTATACAGACCCACGTGTAAGTTAGCACGGCACATATTCGGCCCAAATTTGACAGGACAAGAACTAGCCTACTTTTCCGACTGGTGCAACCACTGCTTCGGCATGTACTAATACTATACCATCTAATTTATTTCCCAGTAAAGTGTATAAGTAACGTTTTATAACTTTATGAAAAAGACTTCTAATGCCGCGGCATGCTGCACTATTCAAAAAATAATAAAAATTCTTGCAAATTTTCGAGATCTCAAAAATTTCAGTTGCAAGTTTTTTTTTTTTAAATGCATTGGACTTTATGAATACGCTTTTAACCTTTTAATTCGAAAAAGTTCATATATATGCTAACAAATAATTTACAAGATTTTTCAGTTTTTGTGGAATTTCACTGTCATTTTCATATTTTTCTGCCAAATAACTCACAACATTTTCTATTCCTGCGGAATTACGCCACAATTTTCACTCGAAAAACAAAATATATACATACATAAATATATGTATAAGTGGTGCGTTAGTATCCCATTTGACGCCTAAGTTTAAATGAATACTTTCACACTAAAATTACTAATCTGTCACAAATAATTTTCTTTGCACACATGCATGTGAGTATTAGTAACATTTTTAATTGTAAAGTTCAAACATAATTACTTTGCACACATACTTCCATCCACTCAAAATTTTGTTTAAAACCTGTATTATACATGGAAATATTCTCACGCACGTAAAGCATGTGCTTTTTTATAAACTGCACTTTTTCATACTTTTTACATATCTGTGTATTGCAAAATATTATTTAACGAAATTTCACTTTCTCACTGCAAAATTCAAATATTTGGCTAAAGCCAAATGTCCCGGCACATAGAAGTCACTCATTTTTGCTGTTTAAAGTTAAACTCTTTTACCGTTAATTAACATTTTCGACTAACATTTTAAAATGTGTATATTCCTGTACTAAGTTAGAAGTATGCGAGGTTACTTAGATTTTTGTTCTATTTTTATGGCGCATTTTTCAAAAAAAAGCTCCAATTTAAGTGGGCTAACACTAAAGTCCGAAAGATTAATCGGCCGATGCCGGGGCTAGTATAGGACAAAAGAATCGGCTTCGGCCCCTTTTGGCCGATTCTTGAATGCGGTTATGTTATTTAGTTATTTGATTATGTTTTTTTTTATTTTATAAAAGTTTATAAAAGCATTTGTTTTAGAAATAAATTTAATTCTTTCTTTCTTTGCTCACACACTATACATTTTTGTTTGGAATT